GTTTCCAGCTGGATGATTTGTGTCCTTCTGGCATACTCTCTCCCACACTATAGTTAATGAGAGATGAGGGAGGGAGGAGAGAGAGAAACCCCTTCCCTTTCCTAAAGAGCAATCCTTTGTCCAGGGCTCATCTAAAATCTTCTATTTCTTGATCGGTTCACTGGCTCAATGCTGAAATTCTTCCCAATATTTAAAGTCCTCCAGAGCCATGATTACCTTGTTTGGTTACTCAGTCAGGCTTTTTCTTCCTCAACCCAATCAAAGAAGTTGTATGTCATATCAAGATGACAGGGCATAAACTCATTCAATCTTGACATATATAAAGTTTTATCATATGTCATCTCCCTTACATTTAACACTTTGTGATTTACTTTAATGCAAGGTTGGAGAGAAATCCCTCCCTTACATAAATATGAAATTTAAATATAAAAGTGAGACAAATACAAAAATGTGGGCCCTACTCTCGAGGAGATCACATTGTGCAATCCTATATTCTAATTCCATTCAACTTTTTCTTTTTGTATAGTCAGTTTATACTATAGGCAGAGTATGTGACTGTCTATGGGCAATTACTTTGCCCAGAACAATTCTTTGCACATAGTAGGTGCTTAATAACTATGTACTGAGTGGAATAGACTAGAATTAGTCAATGCCATGTGTGGTATGATGGAAAAAATGCTTGACTGGGAAGCAGATGACCTGAGTTTAAATCCTGAATTTGTTACTCCTTATATACATGACCCTGTAGAGCTCTATGTGTGTTTAACCTCTATGTGCCTGGACTTAATCCTCTCTTGTTATTTTATCAAACAAAAGTTGTTTCTCAGGACACCTGAAATTCTTTACTTCACTTTCAAATCCAATCCAACCCAATGAACACAATCTAATTATTACATGCCTGCTAAGTGTAAGATACTATGCTGGGGACCAGGGATACAAAGGCTGGAAAAAATAGTCCCTGCTTAAGGAATTTCTATTCTAATGGGTTGGGTATGGAGGGAGGATACAACATTTACATAGATACCATATGAAGGGATAGCACCACATGAACTTGCGAAAGCAAGAAAAGCTTCCTATGAGAAATGGAACCTCAACTGAGGACGAGATTCTAAGAGACAGGGGCAGGGAATTCCAGGCTGCAGGACAGTTGGTGTAAAAATCTTATCACATTGCCTGAAATTCCACCATCAAAGTTTCATTTGAGTTCATTGAGAGCTTTCTTTATAGAGACGCATTAAGGACTTACAGCATCCTCAAAAGAGTCCTGGCTTCAGGATCAAAGGACCTAGTTGTAGGTCCTGTCTCATTTTCTTACTTCTTGTGCAATCAGGAGAAGGTCATTTACCCTTCCTCAGTCTCATCTGAAAAATGGAAATAATGATAGCACCTATCTCATTGGGCTGTTGTTAGGTTCAAATGAGATAATCTATATAAAGTGCTCTGCAAACCTTAGAATGCCATATAAATGCTCACTTCTAGCTTCTGGTGTAATCCTGTGTAAGTCCAAATCTCCCTGGGCCTCAATTTTCCTGTGAATTGGATTAGACAGCCTGGGAGGTCCCTTTCAGCTCTAGAGCAATGATGCTAAATTAATAAAATATGAACAATACTCCATATTTGTATAGCACTTGTAACCTTCAAACCACATTTGTACATAGTAGGTAATACATAGTTATTGAATGAATGCATATTTTATTTAATTCTCAGAAGAACTCTAAGAGACAGGCAGGGAAGGTATTATCTTCCTTCTTTTTCTTTGAAGAGTTCATTCACTGAGAGTTCTCTCCTCTCCCTTCTTCTACACCTCAGAACTTTTCTTAGTCACCTCCTGATCTCTCTTTATTTGCTCCAATTACTGATGGCTCATCTTCTTGTTGAGATCAAGCCACCTTTGCCCTTGATCCTACCTCCTCCTGTCATCCCCCTCCCTCTAATCTTCTATCTTTTTTTGTTTTCTGATTTCATCGCCTGCTAGTTTTAAACATGCCCCCAAAAGTATAGGCCTTAGAATGTAGATGATATTTAATAAATATTTTATTGAATAACTTAAAAACATAAACATGCTCAGCTCTCTCTATCTCTAAAAAATTCCAGTTGACCCTAGGCCCCCTCCACTCTCACCCTCCAGCATGAAAATCTAGCAATTGTCCTCTGTGTTGTTTTCCTTTTACAGCTAAATTGCTTGAAAAAGCTGTCAAGCTATTGTCTCTACTTTCTTCTTTTTAAAATACAACTTTTTTTTTTGCTTTTTTTTCCCCAAATAACAAGCAATAAATTTTCTTTCTTCCACCTCCAATAAAAAAGAATCTAGATCCTCATAACAAAGCTGAGCAAAACAAATCCTTAAATTGGCCTGTCCAAAAAAAAAAAAAGTCCATCACCTTTCTCTTGGCACGCTCCATCAGACCACTGGAATCATGGTTGGTAATTGCATAACTCAGAGCTCTTAAGCCTTTCAAAACTTTCTGTCTTTATAATAGTGTTATCATGGTATAAATTTTTCTGGTTCTGCTCAGTTTACTTTGCCTCAGTTCTTACAAACTTTCCCAAGTTTCACTGAAACCAACCCTTTCATCATTCTTTATAGCACAATAGTATTCTATTGCGTTCATATACCATAATTTGTTCAGCCATTCCCCAATTAATGAGTACCCCTTTAAATTTCTAGTTTTTTGCCACTACAAAAAAAAAAACCTGCTGCAAATATTTTGTATATGGCATATGGGTCCTTTTCATTTCTTTGGTTTAGGCCTACTAGTGGCATTGCTGAATCAAAGGGGATGCAAGGTTTAGTGATTTTTTTTTGCCATAGTCTCTATTTTCTTAACTTACATTCTTTTCTCAGATCCTTGAAATCTGGCTTCCTACACTTAATGGAAACTACGCTCTCCAAGGTTACCTGTAATTCTTTACTGTCTAAAGTCGATGGGTCTTTTGTTAGGCCTTACAATCCTTGACTTCTGTTCAGCTTTTGATAGCAGCCTTCTCTTTCTGGATGTTCTCAATGCCTTCCCTCTTTCAACTATTTCCTATTTATCCTGCACATGGCTTGCTTTGTTTATATTTGTTTATATCATCTGTCCCATTAGATTTTAAGCTCCACAAAGGACTTTTTTTCTCTTTTTGTATTCCCAGCATTTAGCACAGTGCCTGGCACATAGCAGGTGCTTAATAAATATTTATTGATCAGATTTTCTGGACTCATTTTCTCCTGTTTGTCCTTCTACCTGTCTGATCACTTCTCAGTTTCCTTTGATGAATGATTATCCATACCTTGCCCTTAGCTGCAGGTGTCCTCCAAGACTCTGTTCTGGGGTCTCTTCTCTTTTGTCTCCCTACCACCTTTCATTGATTTCATTAGCTCTCATCTTTCTGAAAATGACTGTAATCTTTTTCTGGACTCATTCCCTTTCCCCATCCCCATCAGCAGTGTCTGTTGGATATTCTGTTGGTATGACCCACAGATTTATCAAAGATGCCCAAAATAGACTAATTATCTTCCCCCCCAAGCCTTGCCCCTTCTCTACCATACTTCTAGTTTACTAAATTATTTCTCTTCTCCTCCTCCTCATTCTCCTCCTCTCCTTCCTCCCCCTCCTTCTCCTCTCCCTTACTCCACCACCAATGTAAATTTCTTTTTCCTTTTGTCTGTATTCTCAGCACCAGACACAGTGCCTTGCACTTAGTAGGTAGGCACTTGCTGAATGAATGAATTCTCATTTTACAGATCAGAAATGGAAGGGGGAAATGAGATTAAGTTACCCAGCTACTTAATAACCAAGTCGGACTAAGAGTGTAACTCTTCTGTTTCTTAATCTAATGTTTTCTCTCAATACCCTTTCTCCACCCCCCCCCCATTATAGACAGTTTTATTCAGATTACTTTCCTCTTAACACCTGAGATCAGTAGGAAAGTTTTGATGGAGATAATTTGGTGGCTGGAGGAACTGCAAAGGAAGGCAGGCCTAGGTATGCTGCTGCAAGGATGGGTGATGGGCAGCCAGATGGCACTGTGAAGATACCAGATAGCTTGTCAGAGGAGAGGGGTACAGAGAGATTGGAGGGGGACACGGAAAGGAGTAGGGAGAAGATAAGACCTGGTAACTAAACTTGGCTGAATCCAGGTCAATTAGACTTGTTTTGGGAATACCAGGAATCCAAGCCCAGAGGGTCAGAAGCTGTGCCTTTTGGTCTGAAAATGGGCATAATTATCCAGGCAAAGGACAGTATTATCTGGATGATTGCCATCCGTTTGGATTTCACTGCGTAATAGGGAACTGGCTGCAGATATTTCTGTTCCTGCCCCATCATTCCAGCAGTCGGGGTGAGGACAACAGTCTCTTTGCTTGGGCCCTCATCTCGGAGGACCTTTCCAATACAACTCAGAGGCACCTGGCTAGGTCCTGCCATCTAGCTGCTTCCAGCCTGGGTGGATGGGGATTTAAGAAATCTTAGCCGGACCTGGGCAACTTCCTATTACCCTGATTCTAGGGAAAGTGCCCTCCCTCAAAGTTCTTAATTGCTGAGATGCAAGAGGGGAAAAGGAGAGAGAGGGGGGAGAATAAGAGGAGAAGGAAAGAAAAAGAGAGAGAATGAGAGGGAGGGATGAAAGAGGGGGAGGGAGGAAAACGAGAGACGGGAGAAAGGAGGGGGAAGCGAAGAGGGAGGAGGGACGAAATGAGGGAGTGAGACGGAGACAGAAACACAGAAAGGCAGACAGAGCGACAGACAGCCAGAGACAGAGAGAGGAGAAAAAAAGAATTTCCCACCCATAGGAGGACTGTACTACTCTCTCGATCTCCCCAGTCGGGCCCTAATCGCCCCGCTGTCCAGGCAGGAGCCGCGGGGTTTGGGGCTTTGCGCTCCCCCGCCCTCACAGAGAGCCGCTGCGCAGGCTGGCCGCTGCATCCCTGCCCCCGGGGCTCCCTTGTGAAGCCGGAGGGGGAGAGCGAGCTCCCCATTCCTGGCGCCCCCCTCGGCTCTCTTGCTACTTAGTACGGTCCCCACCCCACGCGGGCACCGCAGCTTCTGTGGCTCACTCCAGGCCGGGGAGAGACACTCGGTTTGGAGCCCCCAAGTCCGGTGCGGCCCTAGCCAGCAGCTCCGACGTCAGAGGCGAAGGCGGCCGGACTCAGGGGCTGGCGCCCTCTCCTCCGCCACCCTCCTTTCCTTCCAGACTCGCCGTGCCCTGCCCTGCCGTGCCCTGCCCAGCCTCGGGTGCCCGCCTCTTTCGTTCTTCTCACCCTCCTCTCTCTCGTCCTCGCTCCTCTCTCTCCCGTTGCCCCTTTTTGGCCCCCGGCCCCAGCCCTCATGGAGGAGCCCGGTGCCCACCCATGTCCAGCCTGGTAGGTGGCGGGCTGCCTGCACCGCATCCCCAGCTCTGTCCGGCCGCGTGGGGGGGGGCTCCGTCCTGCGCAGCAGCCCCATCGCTGCTCCTGCGCCGGGATGCCAGGCTGGAGGAAGAACCTTGCCTTGTGCCTGCAGCGGATGCAGGATGAAGGTAGGACACGGCCGGCTTGGGGTGCGCGTGGGAGGGGCCGAGGCGGGGAGTGGAGCTCGGGCCTGGGGTCCTGGAAGGGCTGGGGGACCCTGGGGCCGGGGTCAGGGCGCGAGCTTCCAGGACTGAGCCCGCGGCAGCTGCGACAGAGACCGGGTTGGGGGACGCACGTCCGACGCTGCATCTCGGGGTCTTCGTTCTTGGAGAGCTCTGATTCCCCCCCCTCCCCATCTTGATCCCCTGTATGAACTGCCTCCTGCTGGAAGGAGGACAGCGGACGGGCGCTAGTCCTGTTTTCCCAAGAATCGGGCTCGAAGAACCAGCGCCGTCTGATGAACACAGCAGTGTCTGTTCAGCCCTAGGGGCACATGGGGATTGGGAGGCAGGGGCAAAGAGGAGCAGGTTCCGGAATCTTGACTGTAGAGGACCTGAGTCTAGCTTGGAAATCCCAGGGTGGGGGTGAGGTGAGGCGGAATACTATCTGCAGAAAGAGTGGGGAGGGAGGTCTCGGGCTCCAACCGAGGGAGGGGTGTACGTGTGGCTCTAATTCACGCGGACTAACTTTCTGGAAGCTCCTGTCAGTTTGCCCCGGTTCCCCGCCTCCCACCCCTCACCCCAGTCCCGGGAGGGGGGCTGGCCTGCATTTCTGCTACTGTGAGAGGGGGTGTTGTTATTTGACCCGTCCTGCGCTCCCCTTCAAGGCAAAGGGGCCGCCTGTGATTTTGCCTTGCTTTTAACCCCGGGCTCCTGCCGTCTGGCCAGACAGACCCACAGTTAGGGAAAGTTACGGGGAAAACGCTTTTTCTAACCAGGAAGGATAAAATGGAAACGCAGTGTGGACTCCGGGGCTGGCTGGCGAAGGACTTAGCGTAGGTGCGTCCACACCTTCCCCCTTCGTATTCCTCCCCCCTTTCCCCCTCCCCCACGGCCTCCCCCAGACCGCAGTGCTGCAGTGCCTCCTGCCAGCCTGGGCTAAGCCGAGCTGTGATGTGCGGAATGGTCTGCCTAAACTTGAGGGCTTTCTGAGAAGCCCCCCGGACCTGTTGTCCCTCCTGCCTCCTACACAGCCCGCCTGCCCAGATTTGCTTCCTCGAAGAGAGTCAGAAGATCAGTTCCCAGCGGGAAGGCATCAGAAGCCAGCTTGTTGTTCCCTCCTTGCCCAGGCTCAGTGCTGCCTTTCCAGGTTAGGGACCCTGGCGTATTGCTCCATGCTAGAAAGTTTTGAATTTAAAAAATTGCAGTGGTAGCCCTAAAACGGAAAGCTTGTAGGAAAGGAGGTTCACCCCCTTTCTGATCTCTCCTACCCCTCAGGCTGGGGTTAGCCTCCCAAAACCCTTGTGGGTAAACTGACTCCTCTAGCCCCAATGAAGGCTAACAACTTGGGGAAGGGGAATTAGCCTGTTCTGGGAATGAACGTGTTAACACTTGTGGGTCTGACTTATTCAGGACAGTGTAAGATGCTCTGGCCAGAAGTCTGCCCCCCCCTCCCATTTCAAACCAGGGCAATGGAGGGAGGCTCCAAGCCAGACAAGTGACCGTCTGTGGCTGGAGAAGGGGCCTGTGTGACTGTATAATGGAATTACATATCTATCTGTAGGTCCTGCTATTGTTCCCTGAGAAACTTTTCAGATCTCTTTTTAGAAAAGAACAAGCCAGAGACACAGTTAGTGAGGAGGTGGCTGGAAGGAGAAACCTGTTGTAATTTGATGTGGTCGCTACAGTGCCTATTGTGTCTGCCTGCTGTGGTCCCCTCGCTTGGACCATCATTTTCTCAGGATGAAACTTCTCAGACTCTGATGTTTGTAGCTCAGCTGCTGATCTAAGAGGGTTAGATGCTGGCCTTGGAGCTCTGGAGAGCAGCACTTCCAGGAGCTCCCGTGACTTGGTAGTGGTAGGGAATGAGAAGCAGGACAAGGAAGCCTACGGTAGCATCTGAAGTGGATGTTGAGACAGAAGATGTGCCAGAGGTCTGTACTAGGCCAGCTTCTCCCCAGAGTGGGGAAAGGGCCTGATAAGAGAGAAGCAGCAGAGTCAGGAGGCATGTGGAGGAGACAGGTTCATCAATTCTATGGCTTGAAGAGGCCTTGGAGATCATTTAGTTCAAGCCTCAATTTTAAAGCTGGAGAAACCAAGGTCCAGAAAGTTCAGACTTGACCGAAGGGCATTCACTCCAGCAGAGCATTTCCCTACTCTGTTTGCTTGTTGCAAATGTTACCTGTTGGTAGCTGGGATGTATTGAATATAATTGTAAAGAAAGGAGGCAGATGCCATTGGGGTGAATATTACCTTTCTTGCTATAAAGGAGGCAAATGATAATTTGCCCCTCACCTTCCTTCTAGAGATGTTGAGAAGGTTCATGGAAGAAGCCTCAGATTCTACCTGCTCTCATTCTCTCTCTCTCTCTCTCTCTCTCTCTCTCTCTCTCTCTCTCTCTCTCTCTCTCTCTCTCTCTCCCTCCCTCCCCCTCTCTTTCTTTCTCCCTGTCTCTATCTGTCTCTGTCTCTGACTCTCTCACTTGACTCAAGTGCCATCGAATAGAGGAAGTCACTCCTGATTCTTTCAGCTGCTAGTGTTCTCTCTCTCCTCAAATTATTTATTAGCTGATCTAGGCATTTCTTAGGTAGCTCTTATTTGTAAGGCTATAAGAACACAAAGACAAGTGAAAAATGACTTTTACCTTCAAGGAGATGAGTATCAGTTGTATCCCTTTGCCTCTGCAGAATATAAGCTCTTTGAAGACAGGGACCTTTTTTTTGGTCTTTGCATCTCTAGTACCTTTCATAGTTCTCAGCACACTGAAGGTGCTTAACAAATGTGTGATGAATTGAAGACAGGAAGGGAATAAGCATCTAAATAGTGCCTGCTATTCTGTGCCAGGTATTGGACTAAATGTTTTACAAAGATTATCTCATTTGATCCTCACGGTGAGGTAGGTGCTAATATTATCCACATTTTACTGAAGCAAACAAAGGTTAAATGACTTCTCCAGGGTTACACATCTGGAAAGTGTCTCAGGCTGGATTTGAACTCACATCTTTCTTGACTCCAGAACCAGCACTCTATTCACTGTGTCACCTAAATGGATGGGGAGGAGAGGGAAGAAGACTGCCTGGAGACATGTTACTTGTGTCTTCGAAGGGGCAATTTGGCCCACTGGTATACAGAAATACTTTGAGCTTTTCATGTAGCTCTCAGAAAAAGGTGCTTTATAAATGCTGGGATGCAGTCAAATCCCTAGTTCTTACTTTGAAAACATTTGTGAGGATTGTATTGATCTTTCACCACTGCACTGAATCAAAGCAACACCAAGCACATCCACGAGTGGTAGCAAGAAGAAAATGCTGTGCTTAGTTTCAATTACTTGTAAAAAGCCAAACCAAACCCTCACTGAGTCCATATGGTAGGGGAGCTGTCTTCCCAAGGGCTGGGACTGTGAGGTATACATTCTAAACTGTAGAAGTCTACCTTGAAAGAGCCTTACTATGTGCACATCAGACAAAACTTGGTAGTGAGAGCTATTAAGACTTTGGACCAACCTCTCCATCACCAAGACAAGTATGACCTGTCAGGCTCACACAGACGCAGATCGGCCCCTTGTCGTGGGTTCAGTAATACCCAGGAAGAGGCTCTTCTCCCTTGTTGTCTGTGGAGTTTACCCAGCCCAAAGTCAAGTGGCTATCTGACAATTATCTGGTATGATTTGATGAATGGAAACTAGCGAAATAGATGCTTCAGGGATCAGCCAGTTTGGAGAGCCTGAATTGCCTGCCCTGTGAACTGGCCTGTTGCCAAGTCTCCACCTCCCTGTGGCCTGGCTTCTTTGGGTTTTCTGGATTGCATTCACAGTCAATTACCACACATGGATTGGCTCCATCATGTGGCAATTTTAATCAACTCTCTGTCCAAAGGGTGTAACAATGAAATGAGCTGCATTTGCCACAAACTGGTTATTCTGGTCACAGACATCCAGCCTGTCGGTCTGAGTCACCTCTGTGGAGAACATGTGGAAAGCTGAAATAGCAGCTAAGTCTACTTGACTGCAAATGTTCAGATAAATCGAGAAAAAGACACATCTGCAGCTGGGGTCTCTGTGTTCCCCAATAGCCGGTGATAAGCTCATACTTAGAACTTACCATTTTGGAGGGCATTGAAGTTTATGAAGCATATTCTATAAGAGAAGGAGTCTAATGATATTCCCGTGTGCAGATGAGGAAACTGAGGTATAGAGAGACCCGCCAGGATAATTGTCAGGACTGGAATCACACCAACTCCTTTGATTTAAGGGATCACAAATTGAGAGCTTGAAGGAACCCTAGAAGCCAGTAAGGCCACTCCCCTCATTTTATTTATTTATTTATTTGTTTACTTATTTATTTAGGCAATTAGGGTTAATGACTTGCCCAGAGTCACACAGCTAGTAAGAGTTATGTGTCTGAGGCCGGATTTTAACTCAGGTCCTCCTGACTCCAGGGCCAGTGCTCTATCCACTGTGCCATCTAGCTTCCCCTACCTCCCTCATTTTAAAGATGGTCAAATTGGGATAATGATGGGTCAAGGAACTTCCCTGGGGTCACCAGATCCAGCACACCATCCACTATTCTATTTTGCCTCAGAAGACCAACAGAATTATCCATTTGCCATCCAGATATTCATTGTCCTAGAGATACAAATTTTCATTCCCTTGGGAGTAAGGAGATTAATGTTCTCCTTTCATCTTTCTAATAGATCAGTAAAAATAAACAATTAGGTCTAACTGCCACTAGGGTGAGAAAACTGGGGCTTAATCTTAATGCACAAAATTCAGAGGGCATCACATTTATAGGATACAGACATCAATTCTAGCAATGTAGAAATGACAGGACAAGTACCTGGTTAGCAAGAATAATTGGTCAAAATAGCAAATCCGTTGTACTCTACTTTCCTGCCTTCTGAATCCTCCCCAGCAGCAGCCTTGGGTTGGTGTTCTAGGGTCTGTGTTCTCCTCCCCGATACATACATACATC